ATGATCTATATGAATATAGCAGGTTATGATGAAATATGAGATTATTAATTTATGTATAAAGTAGGTTGCTTAATGTGATAACTTTGAATAGGGTTAGGGGATTCTATTCTTTGCATTGCACAAGTATTGCTAGGGTTGTATACATGTCGGGATTATATCATGTTGAGCCGGATTATGATTCTTATTTTATGTGTATATTGGATTTACTTGGTAAAAAAATATGTTTTGACTAACATGTCCTTTATACATGCATTGATAATTTTTATGCATAAATGCCATATTTAGGACGTTTAGTGTAATAACCCATATTTTCTTCCCCTTTTTTCAAACAAAGTAGGTTCGGGCGATTGAGTAATCAACGTCGCTTTTCAAGGATAATTGTAAGTTGCTTCTCAAAGTTGGTGAATCCTCATGTCTGAGGACAATACTTTATGTTATAGCTTTTAGTTCTTTGCTTAAGTTCGAAGACATTATTGTATATCCTCATTGTAGAATCCTTGTTGATGTAAAGGATAAATCCAAAATTTATATATCCTATGTTAGATGGTATTGAGTGACGAATTTATATTCTATTTTCATTTATGAAATGTAGTTGAACTTCCAAAGTAAAATTTATAATTTTTTTTTATTTTTATTGTATGATATATGCTTTGACAAATGCTAAGGGCTTGTCTAAGTCTCTCGAGGATGAAGACGCCGGTTACGACTAAGGGGTTCTCCTCGATCGTTACAAACTTGGTAATAGAGTATAAGGTTGAGATTAGTATAGGATTGATGTCACAAATTATGCCCTTAGATAGAGTCTTGTACATGAGAGTCATAACTCTATCTAGTCCTTTCTTTTAATCCTTTTCTTGTGCTTATAGACAATGAATGCAACAAGGAACAATTCTAGATGGGCCGAAGAGGACAATGTGAATAAGGGGATTCCCCCTCAAGATCCTTAAAAACCTCAAGTTCCTATTGAAGAAGGTAATATGTCTAATATTGAAATAAGAGCGGCTATTCATATCTTGACTCTACTGTAAGTAAAGTTGCTAGGTATTCAAGGGTGAATTTGAACACCAATGCTAGCACTATCGAATCTAGGATTAAGGATTTCATGAGGATGAATCCCCCTACTTTCTCTGGCTTAAAAGTGGAGGATTACTCATGGATGAAGTGGTCAAAGTGCTAGAGGCTATGGGTTTGTCGTCTAAAGAAAAGGTGGAACTAGTCTCCTATCAACTTAATGATCTGGCTCATGTTTGGTATGAACAATGGAAGGAGGAGAGACTTGTTAGAGAAGGTCCGATTAGTTGGTCTTCATTCAAGACATCTTTCCTTTGTAGGTTCTTCCCCTTAGAATTAAGGGAGAGGAAAATGCAAGAATTTATCAATATTCGTCAAGGGAGTATGAGCGTGAAGGATTATAGAGTCAAGTTCACACAATTATCAAAACATGTTCCTACTATGGCTACAGATGCTATTTCTAAGATAAATAAATTCATCATGGGTATATCCAACCTTGTTATTAATGAATGCAGGTGGGATTTTTTGATTCCTAGCATGGATATCTTCCCTCTCATGGTCCATGCTAAAGAAATTGAGGAGAAAAATCATAAGCAAGTTTGTAGGGATTTGAAGAGGTCAAGGGCGGAAAATTGAAATCATTCCAAGACAGGATAAAAGGTTCAATAAGAGGTTCCCCAAGAAAGGTACTCCTAAGACTCAAAGGCTCAACAAAGGTAATATGTCTACCCCAAGTCTCAAGAAGGAAAAGGTGGTGGTCTTTATGTTGTGAATCATATTTGTGCAATGTATGGTAGAAAATATGAAGGAAAGTAGTTAGTGTAACATCTAGTAACTCAAAATATTAAGGATAATCTAAGAAATTTAAAATATTCACTTTTCGAAATAAAGGCGAAAATCTAGAAATATTTTCTAATTTTATGAAGTGATTTTGGTCATTTTCAAATAGCCATTATTCTACCATAGAATGAGTTAGGGGTATTTCTTGACATGGAATTCCCTTGAAAATATATTTCCAATAGTGCCGAGTTTACATGATTTCAATATTAAATGAAGAAGATATGCCTATAGGAAGTTGGATTGTTGAACCGAGGAAAGTCCAATTACGGATTTAAGTAAGGTCAAACGAATTTTTTCACCTATCTTTTTGCTAATTAGTTTTAAGGATTCATTTGGGGTAAAAATAAGTGTTTATTTCAGATTAGAAAAATTAATCTACGGTTAGGGCTTAGAGAAGAGAAAAGAAAAGAAGGAAAACAAAGAAAGATCAATGTTTCACCAAGAAGGCCAAGTAATTGCAAGTGGAATTTTTTGGGGATGATACCTATTAAGGTATGTGAGATATTTTGTGTTGGTTCAGTTCACCCATAGACTAAATTTTCTAATTCAACTATTTTGAGTAGATTGAATGATGAAAAGTCAAGTTCATGAAGAACAGTGTTAAATTTTTATTTGTTGAGTTATTTCATGCCTAGAGTTAATTTGATTAGTGTTTTTGGGTTGTTTTTTGAGTTGATATATTGGGTATTGATGGTTTATTGATTCTAAGTGTTTGGGGAAAGAACCATGGAAGTTAGAGGCTTTATAGGGCACTGGGGCACTGCAACTCCCATAGCCCACATGACAGTATCTATACGTAGGTCCTTGAAGTGTCAAGGTAGCGAGAGCGCCCCAACATGGCCTATGACGTTTAGGGACTGGTGCTCCACGCCTCTCACAGTGCCAACGACGTCTAGATACCCCATTGATTCCCCATGTTTTCATACTAGTTCCTAAGTGATGAACCAATGTTTCTTAGTTTATTCTAATACTCTATCCTACATCTAAAAATCATTAAATCATCCATCAACATGATATCATAAACATTGAATACATAATCAAATTCAAGGAACGTTAAGATCAAAGTCAAGAAATTTGAGAGTCAAGTCTAAAAGTTAAGAATAATTAAAAGTAAACTCTTAAAGTTTCCAAGAGTCTTTAACAAACTTTTTACCTTTGTTTTAAGACTCAAGTTGCAAGATAAGGAAAGAGTAAAGAGTTGAGTTAATCTCCCAAAGTTATAAGGGAACTAAGTATTCCCTAAGAATTACAAATGTACTTGCATTTTGAGCAAGAAAAGAAGCTAGGATTCCAATAGTGTTTGGCTAGTTTAGTTAAGAGGAAACTATCATTTCCAAGAGAGATTTTAAAGCTAAGTTTGAGAAATTACCTCAAACCAGAGAAGAAATTGTTTTATAACACATGACTATTTATTTAAGGTGTAGTATTGAGCAGCGATATGGGGACGCGAGTTTATATTAACTCAAGCACCCATAACCATGTAGTCAACATTGACATAAGAAGGATCATACTTTTTAAATAATTCCTTATTGCTTTTTTGCTTAGACTAGTGGATCCACTTCATAGTTCAGTAATTATATTGACTGCATATATAGGATGGTTCTCTTCCAACGTGAGGTATGACGTTGTACCATTGCTTAGTCTCACAGTTATTGTTGTCAGTTAGAGAATCTCCCATAAGAATTATATTATATATATATATATATATGTATGTATGTATATATATATGTATATATATATATTGTAGGTGTCTTTCTTGCTTTATATTAAGTTCAATATAGTATGAGTTAAGAAGACCAAAGCTAAGTTTAATTGTTATTCTTTCCAAGCTTATGTTTTGTTAGCATTCCAAATCGCATACTCGTACATGCAATGTACAAATCCTAGTTCACCTTCATCTTCTTATGATGCAGATGCAGGTAACTAGGATCAGCATCTAGTGCTCCTTTAATCTCGTGTGAGAACATAGAGTCACTGGTGAACCTCCTTGCATTCTGGAGGACTCTTTAATTGCTTTCCATGTTTTTACTTATAGAATATTTTTGTGGTTTTCCCTACATTCATCTTAGTATTATAGAGGCCTCATAGGCGGATAGTCAATCCGATAATCAGTTTTGAGTTTCTCTTCATATCGCATTTCAGTTATTTTATTTTTAGAATTAAGTGCTATTTTGGACAAGACATATTTGTAAATTTATACTTGTGAGAATAATTCGTTTTTACTATTCAGGTAAGTATTCTGCTATGTTAAGTAAGCTAGGCCAAGGGTTTGCTCAAGGCAAGCAATTATCATTGGGTGCCACGTCCAATGTGTTGTCTCTAGGCGTGAAAAACATGGTATCATAGCACATAGTTCAAGTGTTTATGATAGTCTATTAAGGCATATCTGTACAGTCCTAGTCATCAGTGTGAAGCGCACAACATCTCTAATTAGGAGTCTACAATATTTAGGAATTCCTCGCTTCTTTCATACCTATTTTCTGCATTAGAGTTTATCTCTAAATGTCTCTCTCTATTCCTTCTTGCGCGTATTTCAAATAACCATGACTACATGAAGAGTAGCACGAGGTCACCCAGATAGTAGAAATCTTGAACCTCGTGAACAAGAGTTACCCGATGCATATGAAATCAAACCTCAAGGGAAAGTTACCAACGCTGAGTTCCATGAGGTTATTAGGATGTGGAGTCTGGCTGTGACTTACTAGGTTTGTCAAGAAAGAGGATCACAACAAGAAGGGGTTGACACTTTGAGGATTTGGGAGTTCTTGAGAATAAATCCTCCCAGTTTCACTAGTAAGAGCACTACTGAGGATCGAAAAAACATTCTATAGAAGTAGAAGAAAGCTTTTGATGTGATTTATGTTGTTGATGTTGAAACAGTCGAGTTAGTTACATACCAACTGAAGAATAAGGTTAGGATTTTGTTCAATCAGTGGAATGGGGGCAGAGACGAGAATGCACAACATCCGACTTAGTCTTGCTTTGATGAATCGTTTTTGGGGCATTTCGTTCCTCGAGAACTGAAAGAAGTTAAGGTAGAAGAGTTCCTTACACTGAAATAGGAATCCTTGAGTGTACATGAGTACGCATCAAAGTTCACCTAGCTATCCCTCTATGCTCCAAAAATAATTAAGGACATAAGGAAAATAATGAGCTTGTTTGTCGCTGGCTTGGGTCGTGCATCAAGCAAAAAGAGAAGAGTTGCAACATTGATCGGTGATATGGACGTATCCAAATTGAAGATTTATGTGCAGAAAGTGGAAGAGGAGAAGCTGAGAGAAGAGTATAAATCAAGAAAGCTTAGACTAGTAATGAGTCTAGGTAGAAGAAGGGTTGTTTCGAATCGGTCACAGTTCAAGAAACAAATGGGCCCTGCACCATCATTGTCTAGTTCTCGTGCACCTAGAAATAAAGGTGAGCATCATTCCTCCAATTCGCAGAACTTCATATCTAGACAATGAAGTCTGAAAAATGTGTGGCAGAAGGAGATAGATGGGCTCATGCATGTCTAGGTATGGTATTTACCACCCAGGTAATGTCGTGATAGCCAAACATGTTGCTTTAAGTGTAGTCAAGTGGGTTAATTCATGAAGGAGTCCCTAATAATAGGTAAGGTACTGGAAATCAGAGTAAGAGAGCTCAATCTTCATCAGTTGCTCTACCAGACAAGGCTGCACATAGAGGTGCAACTTCTATTACTAGCGGAGGGGAAAACCGCCTCTATGTAATCACTAGACGCCAAGAACAAGAGAACCATCTAGATGTTGTCATTGGTAAGATCAAATTCTTTGCTTGGATATTAAATCTTCGCTATACCCAGAAGCACATTTGTCTTTCGTAACTCCTTATGTTGCAAATCACTTTGAGGTTTTTCCTAAAAAACATTGTGAACCTTTTTATGTTTCTAACTCTGTCGGAGAGTCTATTCTAGCAGAAATAGTCTATCCTGATTGTCCTATTTTTATCAATAAGAATATACCATCACTGATCTAGTAAAGTTTGACATTGTAGATTTTGATGTCATTCTAGATATAGACTGGCTTCATTCATGTTATGCATCAATAGATTGTAGAAGTCGAGTTTTCAAGTTTTAGATTCCTAATGAGCCAGTCATAGAGCGGAGTCGTAGTTCCTCTGTGCCTAAGGGTCAATTAATTTTGTATATTGAGGAGAGTAAGTTAGTTTTAATAGGATGTATTTAATACTTAGTCTGAGTTGATAACTCAAGTGTTGCAGTACCTTCCCTTCTATCAGCTCCTATAGTAAAAGAGATTTCACAAGCCTTTCCTACTGTTCTTCCCGGAGTCCCTCCTTAGAGAGAAATATACTTCGGTAGAGACATCATCCCAGATACTCGTCCTATCTATATTCAGCCATATAGAATGACACCGGTAGAGCTATAGGAGTTGAAGGAACAATTAAAAGAACTGTTAGATAAAGGTTTTATTCGATCAAGTGACTCACTTTGGGGTGCTCCAGTCTAGTTTGTGAGAAAGAAGGATGGTTTACTTAGTATATGTATAGACTACCACAAATTGAATAAGGTTACCATCAAGAATAAGTATCCTCTTCCAAGGATAGATTATATTTTCGACCAACATCAGGGTGCTTCTTACTTCTCAAAATTTAATCTCAGATCAGGCTGTCATCAGTTGAAAGTTAGGGAATGTGATATTCCAAAGACAAATTTTAGAACAATGTATGAGAACAATATATGAGATAAAATTTGATCTTAGATCGGCTGCCATCAGTTTTTTTTCATATCCTTCAATTTGACTAATGCACCAGCTATGTTCATTGATCTTATGATCAAACTCTTTAAGCTTTCATTAGATATATTTGTTATCTTCTTCATTGATGACATATTATTTAGCTCAAGGAATGTAGAATATCATGCTAGTCACCTCAGAATAGTTCTTCACACTTTAAAAGATAAGGAGTTGTATGCCAAATTCTCCAAGTGTGAGTTTTTTGATTGAGTGTGTGGCTTTCTTAAGCCAAATAGTTTCCGATGATGGATTAAGAGTGGATACCCAAATGATAAAAGAAGTTGAAACTTGGCCTAAACCCACGTGTCCAACTAATATTAAGAGTTTCTTGGGCTTGGCTAACTCATATAGAATGTTTGTTGAGGGTTTTTCATCTATCTCGTCTCAATTAAGCAAGTTGACTCAGATAATGAGATTAACAGGACCCACCTAGATAATGGGATTAGCAGAACCCTCTTGGATAATGGGACTAGCAGGACCCTCCTCATAATTAGATTAGCAAGACTCACCTGGATAATGGGACTAGCAAGACCATCATAAATTATAGGATTAGATTTCCCCTCCTGGATAATGGGAATAAAAGGACCCTCCTCATAATGGGATTAGCAGGACGCTCCTAGATAATGAGACTAGCAGGACCCTATTATAATGGAATTAGCAGGATCTACTTAGATAATGAGATTAGCAAGATCCTTTTGTATAATAAGACTAGCAGGACCCTCCTCATAATGGGATAAGCAAAATCTACATGGATAATGGGGCTAGCAGTACCCTTCCTGGATAATAAGATTAGCAGGACCCTCTTGGATAATGGGACTAGAAGTACCCTCCTAATAATGGAATTGATAGGACCTTCTGGATAATGGGAGCAGGACCCACTTGGATATTTGGATTAGAAGGACCCTCCTGAATAATTGGACTAGAAAGACCCTCCTACATAATTAAATTAGCAGGATCCTCCTAGATAATGGGACTAGCAGAAATCTCCTCATAATGTGATTAGCAGGACTCTCCTGGATAATGGGACTAGTAGAACCCTCCTCATAATGTGATTAGCAGGACTCTCCTGAATTATGGGATTAGCAGAACCCTCCTCATAATGTGATTAGCAGGACTCTCCTGGATAATGGGACAAAGTGTAGCAATGAGCTTCTTCAATAATGGGACTATAAGGACCCTCCTAGATAACGCGATAAGTAGGACCTTCCCACATAATGGAATTTGGTTATTTTCTTGTAGAATAAACACTTCCTAGTCTGAGTTTATTTATTTATATTAATTCACATTTGCTAATAACTTACAAATTTTTCCTAATGAAAACTGGACAAAAAATTTGTTTATTTCTTTTATTAGTGATGGTTTTTAGGTTTCCTTAAGCGAAACATGAATTTGAAACTCAAGAAAAAAGATTCAAATCTTTTTTAGAATAATCAATCTCATTATGGTCAGAATCAACTTCTTCAATGCATGTAACAACCTGACTTCTTCACATCTTTTAGTAGTCAGGTTCTGATCAATAAATAGTGTCAAAAGCTGACTTCTTCACATCTTCGATGAATAGTGTCAAAAGCTCAGTCTAAGTGGCAACTTCAACCTCAAATCCAATTCAAGGTTAGGATACTCACCCAAAAATCAAGGTGATATCTTAACGTCAAGATTCAAGTGAAGACTCAAGAAAACGTTGCATAGATAGGAGCTTGTACATTTCCTTTCGACTATTAGTTTTCATTTCTATGTAAATAAAGATAAGATCCGAGATCTGGAGCCTCAATGGAACCTCACCTAACTTTCAATTTATCACCTCATCTCCTTAAACTGCACATGACATGATTCCCTTACAACCCGGGATATGTAGGCAGTCCAAAAAAAGGACTCGGGCGAATATTTTTCTTTTAAATAAGTGTCCGTTCAAAACTTGTCGTTTTGTCAACTTTTTTGTCTAAAAACACTTCGTATTTCCTGTCATAGAAGGCACAACTGTAGACACGTAATATTTGGTTGAAGATAAGGTTTAAAAGTATTTTTTTTATTCCATAAATATTTATTTTAGATATTTTAGTTTTGTCTTATTTTAATTAGTTTATTTTTAAAATTTGAAACCAAAAAAATATTTTTTAATTTTTGTTTAGACTAATATTTATTAATTATAATTTTATATTAGCTATTCAATTATTATTTTATTTTAATAATTAGATGATATTCTACTTATTATAATTTTTATATTAATTATTAATAATAACCTTCCTTAACTCCATAACTACCCATTTCCCTCAACCCACTACACACAACTCCTCACATCTTCCCCCACATCACCTAACCAGTACACTACTATTAATATATACATACTAATACATTCAAAATAGAATGGAAAAATGAGAAGAAAACATAAAATAGAGGAGCATTCATATCTTTTCCTAAATTTTGTTTATTTTCATATCAATAAAATACATATATCACCCCATACAATCTACAAAAAATTATGGATATTTTTAATCGACATTCGGTCAAGGTTTTGCAAAACTTTTTTTTTAGGAATAACTTTACCTTAATCGTTAATTTTTTTTATGAAATTTGTTGTAATTTTTATGATTACTGTAATTATAATTTTATTTTATTTATTATTTGATTGAAATGAATATGGGGTTAAAGAGTTATATCTTTGTTTATTTAATGAATGTAGCATTAATTGACGATTATTTTGTATTTATATATTTCTATTCATTAGTTGTAACCTCTTAAAAATAAAATGTGATGACATTGTTCTTTTCTATATTTAGACAATGATAATAAAGTAAGAATTGTTAGGCTAAAATAAGTTAATAGATTTATATTATTTTATTTTATTTTATCAATAAAAAATGAGATTTGTTTTTATGATTCAGTATTATTTTGTTTTATTAGAAAATTTATGTTTAATTTTAACGTAAACCTTAAGAATAGTAAAAGATAAAAATGATATTAAAATAACTAAATAGATTAAAATTATTTTATTTTATTTATCAATCAAAAAACTGATATTTGTTTTTACGATTCAGTATTATTTTGTTGAGTTAGAAAGTTATGTTTAATTTTGGCATCAACTTTAAGAATAGTAAAAAAATAAAAATGACATAAAATTGGTCTAAAATTTAATTTAGAATGTTAGTATTTTACTTTATTTTTTTTGTCTTTATAAGGAAATAATACATATGTTTAACCTTAGATCGAACACTTTGGCACGTTAAATATATATGTTTCACTTAAGAATGTGGTTACACATCTTTTTGGAGACACTAAGATAATTTCAAGGATGCAGTTACGCACCTTGGCTAAATTGTTTTAATAATTAAACTTTCATTAATTTTAATCAAGAGGTGTACATTGGAATTATTAGGTGTGAGGTACTCGAGAGAAGAAGACAGTTATGCGTCTTAGCGTCATGACCAAGATTGCAATTACGTATCAAGGTTGAGACCAAATGAAAGTTCATCATTGTAAAACAAATAAGTCATGATCTATAAAATATGTTCAAAAATAATAAAAACAAGTATAAGTCAATTAAAGCGACCGTGCTAGAACAACGAGACTCGAGAGATGCCTAATACCATCTCCTCGGTCAACAGAACTTCATACCTTAATTTCTGGTTGCAGACCAAACAAAGAATTATTTCTTTTTGATTAGAGATTAAACAAAAGGTGACTTGGAACACCACAACTCAATTCAAGTGGCGACTCTGAATAAAAAAATAATTCCTTTTTGAAATGTCACTTTAATTGGAAAAACTCTTTCGTTCAAAACAAACAATTCATTTTGAGAAAGAATAGGGCTGTTAAATATGGAAGAAAAAAAATTCTTAAAATAGTGTAAGAGATAATGACAATTGATTCCCTAATATTAATGTTATCCCTAAAATGGTGTAAGAGATAATGACAATGTAAAAAAAAGAAGATGAATCATTGTCAATCCGACATGTGACTATAAAAAAGTAACATGAATCAATGTAAATCTCTATAATTGTGTAAGAGATAATTATGGTGTCTTCTTTATTTAAATCATCTAATAATAATATAAAAATATTAATTATTTAATAAA